AGCCTCTCTTCCTCTCCCAGGTAAGCTGCAGAACTGGCTCTGTAGCAGGAAGTGGAAGAGGCATGCAAATCACAACTCAGAAGTGGAGAGCCTCCGTCTGCAGCCTCCTGTGGGGGAGAGAAGCAGCGGCGGAGGAGAGACGCTTTGAAGCTCAAAAACTCTCTCCAAATGCCTGCGTGCGTCTCTCTCCCTCTCTCGCAGGAGGCCAGGCTGCCTCTGCGTGAGCCCTACAGATAAATAACTGTAGGGGAAACCCAGTATGATTCCTAAACAATGTGGCTCACTGGAAAAGTCATCCTTTTTTTTTTAAATCCCCGGTTACTTACTGTCAATCCCAAACACTAAACCAACTGTGATTCAGCCTACCGAAGAAAATCACATGACGACTGCAAGAACTATATAAAGAACAAAAAAACGATTTCTCATCTGATTTTTTTTTTTTTTTTTTTTTAGGTTTGACTTGTAGACACTTCCAAGTTTTCCTCCGTGCCTCAAAGGAACAGAAACTCTCTGTTCATACATGCTGAAGCCCTTATACATTCGCACTGCTCCTGAAAGCCGAGTAAGACCAGTGCTCGCAGCACGGTGTGGTGGGCTCTTGAGAGCCACGCCGGCCATTTCGTGGCAGCGGTCCCTGCTGCTCCCGCTGGACGCAGCTGTGTGTCCCAGCCTACACCGCCTTCCTGACCTCCCCTCTCCGCAGACCTCCCTGCCAAGAAGCTCTTCCTGATCTTTAGCCTACATTTTCTTAGTTTAACCCTAGGAGGAGTCTGTCTTGGCTGCAACTCGTGCGCAGTGCTTCATCCTTCAGGCGTCCATGGGCTGCCACCACACGCCAGCTTAACGCTTGATCGGCCAGCCTGCACACGCAGGGATGCCTCAATCACCCCCTGAGGTCTGTAGCTCGGGTGGTGCCTCTCTTTCTTGCTCCTGCGCCCTTCCCATGGCATGGGGGGCAGAGGAGGGAACCACGTGTCCAGCATCCCCCCTCCAGACTTACACCATCCCGCCAGCCCACTTCATGGCCATGAGGTGAAGCCATGACACAGATACTTATTTCCTCTTGCCAGAGAACTACTGCCAGATTTCCAGGGGAAGAATTAAAATGGCTGGGAGCAGCGGGTGCCTCCAAGCTGAGCACTAAATGCGATTATATCCGCGGCAGTGCAGTGTTGTCCCATGGCCTGAGTGCCCCCACGGGCTTACCTTCTTCCCAGAGAAACCCACTGTCCATCAGGAGCTCAGCCCGGCCCTCTGACTGATAGTCCTGGCCCCTTCCTCCTCTTCTTCCCCGCCCTCCTCTGCTGAGGACACCAAGCCTTCCTTTTGGGTCATCCTAAGTCACGCTACTGGGCTGAAGCCAAAATTGCTTTCGGTTAACACATGAGCATCGTTAGTGGCGTGAGAGCTGGGGCTGTTCAAGTCAGCTCGAAGTTGTCACTCAATTGTACAGCTTCTATACGGCTGTGTTGCACTGTGATCACCCTGACTGCTGCCAAAAGTGCCATTTTCAGCAGGGTGGCTTTTGTTTCAGGACTCTGCCTTTTTTCAGAGCTCAGCCAGTGCTAAAGGGGCAGAACCAGCGAAGGCAGAGCCGCGGCAGGGCTGGTGCTGCTGCCTGCACCCCTTGTGCAGGGCTGGGCTCTCTGGCTGGGCTGCACAGTGGCGGTAGCACACTTGAGGCCCTCTGATGCCATGCTCCTGGCAGAGCCCTCCCTCATCATCCCACCTCCGCAGCGGGGCATGGAGAGGGGACACGCATTGGTCATCCCCACGGGGGCCTCACAGCAGGTCACACCTGAAGTCCTGTGGGGCTGCCCGGGGAGAGGTGTCGGGTGGGACATGGCCCCAGTGCCTGCAGCCTTTTCCTGCTTTCCCCTCAGTTACCATGGAAATGGACATGGCTGGGATAGGAAAGGCACAGGCACAGGCAGCAGACACGACACGCAACGTGCCTTCCTGAAAGAAGCGATGTGAGAATTGTAATAAAGCTGCCCTACACTTGCTCCCTCCTGGTTTTTCTTCAGAAAGGATCAGTGGCGATGTGGCTCACTACTGCTGTCACTGCAGTGGTGGCACCTGCTCCTGCAGCCAGGGACAGTGGCAACCCCTCATTGCACTCCTGGCACCAGGCCTGAAACAGGAATCACTGATCTGCGAAAAATAAATAAATTCAGATAATAAAGGTTGCATTCCACTCTGATGCGGGCTGCAGGATCAGGGTGGGGGCAGCTGAGCGCTTTTGAGGGCAGGCCCTGCTGGGGAGCACTGCCCGAGCTGGGCATGGGGCTGGCCTGAGGAGGAATGGCCCAGCCACGAGTTGCACCAAGCCCAGCTGCCTGCTGGCCTCGTGACAGCCCTGCTGCATCCTGCACACCGTGGTGGGGAAGGGGGTCCAAGGACACGCAGGAACTGAAATTAGGGCCTTGTACAGGGGCCTGCCCCTGGGAATGTTGTCCTTTGCTGCTGGGGGCTGTTTGTAAAAGACTCTGCTGTGCCACCAGCAAACATTTCTCCCTTCACACAGTGGAGTTGTCTCCCTTTCCGACAACAGTTATAGACAGGCCTCTCAGTCTCCACTGCTTATACCCTGGAAACCAGGAAAGAACCTCCAGAGGTCTTCTGGTCCAACTCCCTACTCAAGCAGGAACACCTAGAGCTGCTTGCCCAGGGCCATGTCCAGACTCTGAAGTAGCTCCAAAGATGGAGGCTCCACAGCCTCTTAGGGCAAACTGTTCCTATGCTCAGTCACCCTCACAGTAAAGAAATGCCTCCTGTGTTACAGTTTGTGCCCATTGCTTTTTGTCCTGTTACCGGGCTCCACTGAAAAAAGCCTGTCTCCATCCTCTTTGCACCCTTCAAGGTATTTTGTTACACATTGATAAGAGGCCCTGAGCCTTCTCTTATTTCTCAGCCTCTCCTCATAGGAGAGGTGCTTCAGTCTCTCCATCATTTTGGTGGCTCTTCATTAGAATCTCTCCACTAGCTCCATATGTACTTGGTCACTAGGAGTTAATGCTGTCTCACTCGGCATTCAGTCTCTTGGGGTCATTTCCATTCTGACCACATATACATATATTTATTTGAAGTGGTGTTTGTGGCCTAGAGAAAAGCACAGAGAGCCTGGTTCCACAGGACATGATGCCTGAGGGGATAGTGTGTGAAAGCTAGCCCTTATCTGAGTGTTTCTGGGTCCAGAAATCACTCCTATAGACCTAATAGTGCCTGCAGTGACAACCAGAGAACCGTCTCTGTGCCTTCTTTAACTTGCCAAACCACAGAAACCATCAGATGCTTAGAATCACTGAGTCATAGAATCATTTAGGTTGGAAAAGACCCCTGAGATTAACCAAGTCCAACCATCAGCCTAACACTACCAAGTCCACCACTAAATCATGTCTGTAAGTGCCACGTCCACGTGTCTCTTGAACACCTTCAGGAAGGGCAACTCTACCACTTCCCTGGGCAGCCCGTTCCAATGCCTAACCACCCTTTCTGTGAAGAAATTCTTCCTTATATCCAATCTAAACCTCCCCTGGCACAACTTGAGGTTGTTTGCTCACGTCCTATCACTTGTTACCTGAGAAAAGAGACCTACACATCCACTTCACTGCAATCTCCTTTCAGGTAGTTGTAGACAGCGATGAGGTATCCCCTCAACCTCCCTTTTTCACTTGGAGCATTTCCTCTTGCTTGAGCTTCGTGTACGTTCTTAGAAGCCCGACAAAACCAAACCAAAACAAAACCCCAAATGCATGAAAGCTAACTGTGCTAATAGCTGAGTGGGTATAAAATCAAAGACAAGGCCCAGCCTACACCTGCAAATTTGTGGAAACCATTATCAGATAAGTGATTCTGGATTAGGAAATATAGAAAACAGATACCTAAGTTTATTCCAGCATTTCAAATGACTCTCCCACCCCCCAAACCCAGGCCATCCTAATTGCTTTCTGAAGGCCTGTTTTGTATTTCTGAAGTCAGCCTATTGACTTCATAGAGCACTGGATCAAACTCAAAATGCTTTAAAGATTAGTATCTCATCTGCGTGTTATTTAACAGCAGAATGTGCTGTGTCATAATGGGCCCATCACAGAAAGTACAGATTAATATTCAGACGCAGGATGACTTTTTGCATTGGCAAGGCAGACAACGTGGAGCTTTTTTATAAAAGTGGTTGGTAGTCCTTCAGGAGCTGTAATATTTATTTTTCAAATCAGGAAGATAATGCCTGATGTCGAGGTCTGCTTCTTGCATTTTCTACTGCATCTATATATTCAGAGAACTAACTCAGCCATAAATGTTTCTGCTCCCAAATGATTAACTGTTTGAAATAAAGCACTGTCGCATTGCTCAACTTTCAACATTAGTGAGGTGAATTAATCTGGAGACACTGCAATGAGCATTTCATTCCATCTTCCTATGTGTAAGGTAGACTACACTTTCTCCCAGTTGTCTGCATTTGGCTAGATCCTCACTGCTTTTGCTCTGTGGGGGAAACTGGGGCTTTCTTCCACTTCTTGCTGTTTGGAGTGGTAGGCACGTGCCCACAAAAATATTTACCACCTTTTTTTTTTTTTTTTTTTAGGCTCCTGCTTTGGCATTTTTAAAGTCACGCCCTGGAGAGACACCTGAAAGGAAAGAAAACAGTACCTATACGTTAGCTCATGCCATGCTTCTAATTAAACCTTGCATAATAACAAAAACCCTCCTGCCATTTGCTAGGATTTTCCCCACAGCATTATGTATCCTCTTAATTAAGAGCAGGAGCTAAGTAATACCTATTTTATTCCCTCTTGCTTCCAATTAGTCCTCCATTGATCATTACCCACTCAACATTTGACAATTAACAGAACCCCCACGCTCTGCAAGAGCTGGAGATGTATTTCTTCAGAAACGACACGTTGAGAGTAATGTACAGGGGGAGCTATGTGGGTGAGTAATGGGGCGAGAGGTAGGGGGAAGGGGAGGGGATGGGATGGCCACCCAAGTGGAACAAAAGCCGTGTAACATATGCAAATGTTCAGGATGCGGTATGAGTTTTATACGCTGGATGTATATGAGGTCATATACAAAGCTCGGCTGGAGGCCTCGCTGCATTTGGGAGGCATGAGAATTTGAGGGAAAACTTCAGTTCTCATATGATCAAACATACCTCGTCATCTGCCTTTAAAATGCAAATCAGGCCCTGGTTTGGCTCTTTGGGTTTTTAGGAGACCAGGAGTTAGCATCCACTTCTGGGTCAGCACCACAGCTCGGGGCTGAGGCTTGTGTGACTGCAGTCCCCCCGGATCAGTAGGTGGCCAAAGACCCATTTTCAGCTACATGAGGTCATGCCCAAGCTGCTAACAGCAGGGATTGCGGATGCTCCAGGAGCCAAATGGGACATCAGGGATGCAGGCACCACTACATCCATTTCCCAGCACCCAGGGACCCTTCCTGGACAAGTAGCAACTTCTAGCAGGGGAAATCCAGTGGTGTAATGGTTTTTGGGCAGGCCTTCTGTGTGAGAGTGAACCCCAGTCAGTAGATAAGGCTACAATGTGGTCTGAAATCCTCCCTGCATCCTTTATTTATTTATTTATTTTCTATCCATTGCAGGCCTCAAGGATTTTGTGTGAAGATGTGACAACCAGCAGCCAAACAAACTCATAACACCCTGCAGGCTGAGGCTCAGCAACAAATGCTGATGCACACACACAAAAAAAGCAGACCAGAGCCCTCAACAAGCTATAGCACTGCCGTGGAGGAAGGAGCATAACCTCACTGCTTTGCTCTTTGCCCTGGAGGAAGGAGCATAACCTTACTTCTTTGCTCTTTGCCCTTTTAGCTATTCACAGAGCTTAATGCTGTGTTATTCCCAACAATGAGCAGAATAATCAAAGTCCCACCTGGCTTAGTCAGTCTAACATCTTCCCTTTAGTCACAGACTCCCGTGATTTTCTGACCATCATCTTGGATATATGCTATTATATCATCCCAGCAACAGAGAAGATGTTTACATTTGGTAACCGAAACTGCAGTTCAGGCTCACCAGCCTGCTCTAATCTGATCACATAAATAAATCCCTGGCCACAGTGGAAAGCAGACGCTGCAAGCACAGCTGGTGCTGCAACCTCTGCATCTCCCTGCTCATGCCATGATGCGCAGCCTACAAGCTAATAGCATGTCTGTCCCGGGAGGGCACTCTTCTCCCTTACGGCCCTCCTGTGAACTCCCATAGGCCCCGAGCTGTGGCTGTGTCCCTGGGAGAAATGTTTTCCCTTCCTGACTTAGAAATCAGCCGCAGGTTGCTGTTTGCAGTGGCTGGGGACCCCAACCACTACAGGGCCTCAGCGGCAGTGCTTGCTGCTGCCACCCCTCTCCTGGCCTGGGAGCAAGGATTGCAACTGAGCCAGGGGTGGGAGGCAGAAGAAGAGTTAAAAAGAGAAGCTCTCTTGTTATTAACACATTTCTGTCCTCTAATCCACTCACATCCTGCTCTTACAAATGCATTTTTGTTAAGCATTCAGCTACAGGGGGAGAATACAAGGAGATGGATTGATGTTTGTGTAGGTATGGATGCTTTTGTGTGCAAATTGCATTTTGATAGATAGACACGCACACACGCCCAGAACACTGGCTGTATTAAAAATCAACAGAAAACATCTCACAGACTTAAGTGAAGCTAGCATTTCCCCTCTCACATTCAAAATGAATCTCAGTAACCTGGTTTCAGCTGTCAGAGCTTCTCCTGATAAATTCAGCAGCACTGGGAGGGAGAGACCAACGCCCTGTGCAAGTGGCATCCTGGCAAGGAGCCTTTTTTCCTTGTCTGCTGCATGGATCCTCTTTTGGTCTGTGCAGGAAAATCCAAAATTAAAGTGTGTCCCCCCCTCTTCTTCAGTTTACATGTCAGGGAATACTGCCCTGATTAACAGAAGCCCCTTCAGTGATAAAATTTCCCTGCGTGTGAGTCACAGGAAATTATAATCACTGCTTTCTGAGATTGCAGAACACAATGAGATTTCTGAGCTACAAACAGACTTCAATTATTCTTGAAAGACAGACAGACCTTCAAACTGACACGATTTGGGAAAATAAATATTCTTTTGTCTGCACTGCTGGTGGCAATTTCCCATTAGGCAGGAAAAGCCTTCTTTGATGAATGAATATTGTCTGCACATTAGAAGAGGAGCTACTGTGTGTATCCTAATAGCTCTCGTACACTCGGGCTCAGCCTCACGTGAGGCCCTTGAACCCTTAGGGTACAATGTGGTAGCAATCATTAGCATGCTGCATTCTGTATTGCAGCAGATGAGAAAAGGATGGTGCATATTAAAGTAAATTTGACCAACTTCCAACTCACCTGCAAGTCATGTGGCAATCTACCACATAATATTTAGCAATCTGCCTTCTTGGTCTGCAGTTAGTCCTTTCCAGCCTAGAGACTTCATGAGGAACACTCCCATTGGAGATGTTTTTTTTTTTTTTTCCATATATGATTATTTTCTAATTTTAACATTTAATCACTTTTCCTTTTTGTACTTATTTTCTATAGTGGTAATTTAACCAAAATTAGAGCACCACGTAGAACTAAATAGAAGTACTGTTTGCAGAAGCCAAAGGACATCGCGTTAGTGCCTTTGACAAGCTGTGGATCTTTTGGAAGATCCACCAAGTCTCACAATATTTCCTTCCCTTGGAATACATTAACAGGCATTAATCATATTAATCATAATTAATTGTTAACGTGGCAGCGTTGCATTTTTGCCGGTCTTTTTTTTCCTGGGACTGGTATTGGATTAATTGGCCTGGAGATATCTGGGTCACCCCATTGAGTCCCTTCCGCTCTTCTGGGACTTCGCTGTCACACCAAAGATTAGTTAGGAGTGAGGTGTGTTGGTGTGGGGAGCTTTTGGCCAATTGTTTTTCTCTGGTTGTGATTTATTTAACCTTATATTAATAAAAAAAAATATCAGAGAGGATATTTTTAATCTGATAGTTCTACTTTTACAGTCACCACCCAGCTATGTGTGCCTAAGAAAAGTTTTTACACTAACTTACAGCAAAAATGCTAACAACCTTGTTTACATTTTAGCTGATGTTTTTATTGGAGAGATTAAAAACCCCAAACAACAAAACTCCCGACATTAAGAAAAAGAAGCAGAAGAGCTACCGATGAGAAGTGGTCTGCAAGTGGTGGCACCAGTCTGCACACAAGCCAGCTGCAGGCAGAGATACGGCAGAGACCGAGGTGGTACTCGCAGACCGAATGTGATACAGGAACAGCAAACCCCAGAGTCAGAAAGAAAGGCCATAAAATCCCGACGACTCCCTGTCCGAGTCTTACTTCCAAAGAGAACCACAGGCAAAACCCCAAATGTTTTAGCCTCATCCCGACTGCTCAGGACCTCGGCAGTGTGACCACGCTTTGCCACCAAGCACTTGTCTGAGTACGTTTTGGCTCCACCAGCCAGCTGAGCTACTGCCGAGTGCTCAGCTCAGTGGACAATGTTTTAAGGCAGGGGGGTAGCTGTGGGAAAAAAAAGAGGACCACAACTCACCTTGTAAGTGTCAAGACTGGTTTTAAAAAAAGCCCCACAAGAATTATGGCCTCTTCGGTGTCCCACAGCGACAGGTACAGAAACATTGGACACGGCATGTACATAACATTACTTACAGACTCTACATGGAAAATGTTAACCGATTTGTCACGGAAATCTGGGATCGAGCAACACGGCTGTACAAATTCACACCTTGAGAAAGGCGAAGTGTGGACCGCTCCTCTGCAAGAGGATCCTCAGTCGATGCTTTGTATCGGAAGCATTAAAACAACGACGACAACTTCTTTTCTGAATCTCAATTCATTATTGTGTTAGATTTCAGAAACTGGAAAAGGTTCCCTTTAGAAAATGCGTGACTATTCAGACTATGAGTTCACAACCTAATTATTAAATAATTAAAAAAAAAAAGAAAAAAGGATTCAACTGTCATGAAGTCTTACATGGCTGCAATATTTTAAAGCAATACCAACAATACAAGGCATAGAAATTTTCTCCTGCAACACTTGTAAAGGGATTCACATGAAAAGCAAAAGGATTATTAAAGAATAAACTGCTCTGCAGAACAGGGAGGTGAGAGGCTAGCCATGAATTCAACCAGATTCCTTGAAGTGGAACTCCAGCTGCTTAAAAACATATCACTTCATAATTCAGAAAATGATGACCCGTTACGTCTGCATACTCCCATTAAATACGATACCCCAAATGGCATAACACCCCTCCTTGAAAAGTTTTTACCTCATCTCCACCGTTACCTCCACAGTTTAAACAAAAGAACAACTATCCAAATGTAAAATGCTCTTTTTTTTTTTTTAATTACTAAATTAAGAAAGTTAAACAGTTTTAAAATGTAAACTTGCAAATAAACCATAACAAAATGTAATTAAGACTTTAAAATTTGCAACTCAGTATTAAAAACTCAATAGAAATAGAAAGGAATTTTTTTTTTTTTTTTGGTTAAACGTAAGTAATTCAAGGCTGGTACAGACAACTGAAAAGGTAATACTTTGTTCTGTGCATCCCCCATGAAATGTAAAGAAGTGCATAGTAATTCCACTGGAGAACTTGCAGACACAGAGAAAGTACTTTCATTAGCAGTACAGGACATTTAACACACTCATTTTACAATGGAAAAATGTTACACATAAAACAGAAAAATCCTAGTTGCGTGACCAACAGTTTAGCAGGTGGACATGGCTAAAATGCTATGATCTGAAGACCATCTGAATGTGGTTACACGGTTTAATAAATCTTTTTTTTTGAAACATTTCAGTATACACGTTTGGCTACAAGAAGTCCTTGCAGTTTCAATTTTCCAGTTCAAACGGTGATGGTGTAGTTTTCTTGCTTTAAATATGTTCATTTTAATTTCAAGAACAAATCATCACACACTTGTCAAACATTGGAAACATTACTGTAAATACAGCACATGATTCCTGAAAGAGCAAAGTTACAACCATCTACAGGTACATAGTCATAAACAAAAAGTGCAATCCAATTTAAAAAAATCATGCTTGGCAAAAGCCAAAAATTAGATCACTGGCTTTCAGAATCCCACCAGTGCTTTCATGTCTGCAGTAAAATTATCACTTTCTGGGTACTGCTGCAGCAGGATTCATTCCGTTCAGAATGAGTTTCCTCTGCAATAGCACCCATATACTGTATGTACAGGTATGTATATATATTATATATATTTTATATATAAAAAAAGCAAAAAACCAAACACCTGTCCTGATTTTTTTTTTTATTTTTTTTTGTTAAAACATGAAAAAAAATGTTTTAGACAAAGAGGCCACTTCTGGAAAATAATACTTTTAGTTGAATCAGGAGAAGACTAGTTAAAATCACATAGGTTTTGCGTTTTAAAAAAAGGAAAGCACTAGGATCAGTTATTGGCACTGAGTTACTATTTACAATGAACGGAGGTTTTGCAGTTTACATAACATCAATACAATGCAGTTTTGGAGTCTTTGATTAAGAAAAAACAAGTGTTTTTCTCCTTTTCATCCAGGACATTCAGATTGTTAGGACAAGTGGTCATAGGCGAGGGCTGCGGAAGCTCCCAGCTTCAGCCCCTCCTGTGCCCGGCGGTGCTGGAAGATGCTGCTGCACTCTTGGGAAGCCGATCACGGAGTTGGAAGCCGAAGGGCAGGCGGGGCAGGGCTTGAGGAACACCTGGTAATTCGTGACAGTGTGTGGAGACCAGGGGTTTACAGGTTGTCGCCGGGCTGGTACTGGGGTTCTGTCGCAGTGAAGTAGTCTTCGAGGAAACCCTGCAAGTATTCGAAAGTTGGACGCTCCTCCGGGTCTTTTTTCCAGCAGTGGATCATAAGCTCGTGCAAGGAGATGGGACAGTCCTGAGGACACGGCATCCGATAACCGCGCTCTACTTGCTCCAAGACTTCACGGTTATTCATGCCTGTTAAGGACAGACAAACCCACACTGCTGAGTTACCAGAAAATTAACCCAAATATCTGAGTTATGTTTCTACAACACATGATTTTCTCAACCATACTTAATTCTTTCAGGTAAGAGGAGAAGTAAACCAAACCACCTCAATGTCCTGTTTCAGCTCCCCATCTCCTGCAGAGTAACCTGGATTACTTTCTTTTTCTGTAGAGGGTTTTAAAATCCAGCGATGGCTAAAATGCTGCTCCCATGGTTACCCTCTTGGCTTACTCCAAATGGGTAGGGTTTGGCACCTCCCCTCCCCAACAACAGTGGCCACACAATACATTATGTGAAATGGTTGCCTTATGAGAAAGACTATTCAAAATTCTAGAAATTAAGATTAATTATTGAAACACTCCAAGTATGCCCCCTTTGTAAGGGCTTTGTGAGGTTGTGCTGCTGAGGTTAAGAAGATGACAGACTTGTGGCTACCAGGCACATCCAGCAGTGTTAATTCCACGTCAGCTCAGAAGCTCACTACTGCTAATGATCTGTGCTGTATTGCTTCTAGCTTATTGTCTTGCTCCAGCCCGCCCCAGAACAGAACAAAGCTGCTCAGAAGATGAGTCAAATGCCAAGCCAAACAGCTCTATGGCATAACCATGGCTCTCTCTTAAGTAAGGAAAGAAATGCTCTCATGCTTGTCTCTGTATAAGAGGTAAGCCAGGCCCTTTGCTATCTTGTATTTTCCATGTAACTCTCATTTCCTCTGCTGTTTTTATATTACACGTTACAATTCACCATACGATGTTCTTCACCATACATTAATTGCAGTCAACCTCAGCTTTAGTTCCTTTATCTCTTCCAGTTATTGCCTTTGGCTTTTGAACGGTACCAAGGGTAACACTGGCACCACAGGCACATGTGGAAATATTTCAGAGAAAGCATGCACGTTGACTGCAAGCTTTATGCTTGCCAGTTGCCAGCTCATGCCCCAGTCCTTTGCTGAAAAACATCTGCAGGCTTCACTGCCCTGCCCTGGTGGGCCCTGCCAAGCAGCTCTGCAAGAAAACCAGGAGAACCACTGAAGTTTCTCCATGACCAAGTCTAGAAATAAATGTATTGGTGTTGCTCTTTCTGCTGGCTGCTCTTCTCCCTGACTTCCAGGACACCATCCTGCCACCCAGTTCCTTCACGGTGCTCCCTTAACCATGTTCAGGACCCAGGGGGCCTCCTCCTTCCACTCCATGTTTTAGCTGAAGTTACTTGTGAGAAATAATTCAACCACCTTTTCCAGCACAGATTCACTTGTCTACTCTGCACCTTGACTGGTGGGCGCAGTATCCTTACGCTGAGTGGCATTTAGGCTGCTAATTCAGCAGTATCCTTGGGTCTGATCTTTACTCTGGGTCCTCACATCCTGGTTGTTTTTAATTCTTAGATGTTTTGAAAGAAGCATCTGCAAGATACAGTCTTTCCTGACGACCCACATCTCGATTCTCACCTCGTGTTATGATTACAAAACACCTTCTCCTCTTATCTTGACAGGGCAATTTCCTCCTGCTGATAATCCATTTGCAATACCTCTGTAAGGATCATTTTCCTAACCTGTTGCTGCAGCCATCCCTTCCACGGCCTTGCCACTTGCTCCTTGTTGCCTACTATGTCAAATACAGGCTGCTTGCCTTCCCTTTCTCCCTTTCCAAGCTTCTCACAGGCTGCCCCACAGGTGTTCAGTCTCTCGTTTGGTCACGTTCTGGTTGACTCACAGTCCTGGTTAGCCTACTGCATCACCTTAGATTTCCACACCAGCACTGACATGCTGTTTCCTATCCTTGGGTAAGGTTCTACAGAGTGATGGAAACAGCAACCATGGTACTCTGCAGAAACTGGACTCTGCATGGAGTTAATGTTCTCCTGGGCTATCAGGTTCAGGCTGATGCTGTTAGGTCACACGGGCTCACAACAAACGAGGAAGGCTTGCCACACACAGAACAAACTTCTGGATGTTCCTCATTATTCAACTAGAACATTTGCAAACATATTCTACTTTTTTTTTTTTTAATTAAATTGAAAAAGAACACTAGTGGTCTGTGAGTCATCGCCAACCCAAGGGCAGCAACAACCCAACCCAAACCTTCTGGTGCCTTGTTGTTTTTGAGATGCTACACGAAAAAGTAGCATTTTGCTCATGTTGTGCTCTTATTATTATTTATTTATTTTTGTCTGTGTGTTTTGAACAAAAAAAATGCACTTTTTAAGCACTGTTTTTTCACACCCGTGTCTTTGAATCAGTTGAATTACCTCAATTTTTGGGCTAAGAGGTTCTTCTGTGCTTTGCTTCCCTTACATAGTAAAGGCTATGCAAATAAGAGTTACCAGTAACTCATCTACTGTGTATACCTAACCCCCAAAACAAACTGAATTCTTTGTTTTTACTTTGGCAGTGCCCCTTTAAGTACAACATGGATGGAATCAACAGCAGCAGGAAAGCTCCTTCCCAACTGATTTGTTACTCTAAGATATCAAATGCTTGGTGTTTTTATCCGGTGTATTACTCGGTGCTGCAAGCACACACTGAAACTTGATAACAAACTCCGTGCTGGAAGAAAAACCCCGAGGAGGGGAGCGTGGGGAGTAAAAACACAAACAGCTCTTCCCTTCCCTTTTCTTTTAAAAAGATAGAGAGAAGAACATAAAAGAGGCTTTGCTGCCTGGAGTCACAGTCATTTCTGTCCCAAGTTTTGCTCATCACGGTATAATCCAGGAAAACGCCCTTCTCTGTCTTTGTCCTTTCCCCTCCCTCCCAGTAAAACCCAGATACGAAGCTAAATCGAGCAATCCTCACATTCCTTGGTGGAATCCATGTGTCCAGCAAGGGCTGCAGAATCCTTTTGTGTGCTATTGATTTAAAAAGGGAGATTCAAATACATATATATATATATATTAATCTTGCTTGTGTTATTACTTAGACTTATAAAAATAGCGATGTGTCAGGTATGCTTTTTACTTCTTAATGGGCCTATTTATGTTTACAAACCCATTATCTGGATTTGCTTAGCTTATCCTACAGGTTTTAGTGTTTCTCTTTTGATGGCAGGAGCCTGTTGTATCTGTACTTCTAGCACCACAGACAGAATATTTGAACAGCCTGTACAACTCTTCGCTCCTAATGAATACCCGAGAGTTTCAGCTCTTTTAGTAAATAATAAATGAAATTCTGATTGCAATACATTTCTAGATACCTTAAAAGTTTATTTAAAAGAAAGCAACACATAAGCCTGTGGAATAAACTACTCAGCAATGTTCTTCTGTTGACTACAGCTATTTCACCTGCTTGAAAATCAGTTTGTGCTCATAACGTTTCTAGAATTAGCATTTGAACCCAAAAGTAAACATCCAATTTCCAAACGACGGGTTTTTCATT